AGGACGCCAAAGGTCTGTTTGGCGTGCTATTGAGCAAGCCTCTGGATCAAATGGCCAACTCAACCAGTTTTCACCGGAGTTCCAGAATTTGGTCCAGACGGTGGAGGCAACCTTAGGTTTACCAAAAACAAGCCAAGGGTGCATTTCTCGCAAGAAATCTGTACCACAACCTCCAGCACCCATCTTTGGAGGGCTACCGCAACATGATCAGGACTGGTCAAATTCGCGATTATCCGTCAAGTTGGAGGACATCGACCGTGCCGAATTAATTTTCGGCAGCGACATGGCAAGGCCAAGGTCTACTACCGCAGACGCCCACCACCAGTGACCGCCAGCATCCATCTGTTCCGGATGGGCTGGTGGCCCCACACAGGTTCTTGACAGGATGTATGGATGTCTTCTATGTTGTGAATTGCTTTCTTGCATTTACTGACTCCAAACCGCACCGAGAATCTGCCTACCTTACCAACAGAAAGGCAAATCATTCTATCCGCCATTACAAGATTTTTGACGGTATGGGAAAATCTTCAAGATCAAGAAATCCAGTGCGACCTGGAGTTCAAGAGCCTGATGGATCCTGTCAAGAACGACATGGAGCTCAAGCTCAACCATGAGCGGCTCAGACTCACAGTGGTCCCGCGAGCGCAACATCCGAACTTGAAGGACGCATCCGCGCAGCCTGGCATTCAACCCGTTCATGGTGATGCAAAGGTGATGATTTTGGAATTGGTGTCGATGTTAACTGTAAACTCAACCTTTCCCCGCGCTTGATGGAATCTCCAAAGTGTATCCTCCCCGGCAGATCCTGGAGGGTCGACCACAAGCTACAAAGATATTCAGTACACTTTTGGAGCTATTGTCTTGCTTCCAACGAACCAGACAAGCTCAATTCCATGGAGCCCAGGCGATTAGATTGCATCTATCTCGCCCCCTGATGGACAACCACAAGGAGGGCACAGTGTGATGGATCTTGTCACCTTTGAAGTGATCACACGCCAGCATGTTCGTATTCTGCCGATGCCTCGCTCAGTCATTGATGCCGTCAAAAGAAGGCATACGGTGGGAAGAAACCACTAATCTTTCACAACCGTGACTTTGTGGAATTTTTACCTGTAGGTTTGCCTGCAGGAGTGGATGGTGTCAATGGAAATGAGAGCTACCTCCAGTCTATGGAGACTCTTCGGACGAAGATTCAGTGGAATCCACGGATCAGATTAAGATTCTGAGATGGGAACGCCCAGGGCTAGTACCAAGGCATCCAAACAGTATGCCACAGAATGACTCCGATGAAGAAGGAGAAGAGGGATTCCAAGGAATCCCAACAAGCACAAGTCAGACAACCCTACAGTTGAAGAACGGCACCAGCAGTGGATACCAATGATGAAACCTCGCTGGGCCAGCCAAGGCTCCAAGCTTCCTGAGTTGGAATTAGACGCTCAGTCGGATTGACAGCCGAAGCAAAGAAAGGGTGACCTTCGTCCAAGATGAGAAGCAAAGCAACCACTACTGTATGAGACAGAGACAAGCAAACTAGCTTTGTTCATGGATCTGCAATCACAGGAGTGCCACAGAAGAAGTCAAGGATGAGAGCACCAGCCCAACAACATCTTCTACCAAGGGTCTGAAAGTGTGGGGCAACAAAGCCAGAAAGGCGGCGCTCAAAGAGATGGACCAGCTACACAGCAGAGTTTGTTCAGTCCAGTCGACCCAAACAAATGCAGTGATTCCGAATTGAAAAAGGCACAAATGGCACTCATGTTTGTGAGTGAGAAAAGGATGGCACGGTCAAGGCCCGGCAGTCTACAATGGGAAATACAGGTGTACCATCAGAAAAAAGATGCCAGAAGCCCAACATTTCACTTGAGGGTTTGATGTTATCCATGTGTGTCGATGCATCTGAGGATAGGGTAGGGATGTGATGTCCCTGGATGTTCCCAATGCGTCATCCAAACCCCATTGCCAAAAGTCGAACAAGGTGAAGACAGGGTCCTCATGATCATTGAGGGAACCTTGCAGACTTACTTGTCGAAATTGATCCTGACACATTGCCTCTTTCCTGACATACAAAAAGGGACGTCCTGTCCTCTATGTTGTCGTGGAGAGAGCCATTTATGGCATGGTTTTGGCAGCACTTCTTTGGTACAAGCTATTCAGAAGTGACCTCGAGCAAATTGGATTTGTGTTCAACCCATACGATCCTTGTGTGGCCAACGGATGATCGAAGGCTACCACAAACAATCCGATTCCATTTGAGATTTGATGTCAAGCACAGAATGAAGTTGGTGAATGACCAGACTTTGGAATGGTTCAATGTTAGTATGGAACCTATGGAGCCGTGAAGGCAACCCGTGGTCCCAAGCATGACTACTTGGGGATGACGGTGGACTTTTCCGACCCAGGAAAGGTTGTGATTGACATGATAGACTATGTCAAGAAAATGGTCTCAGAGTTTCCAGTGGACTTTGGGGCAATGAAAAAGGTACCAAGTGCAGCTCCTGCTGACCTTTTCAGCTCTGGTGATGGAACCACCCTGAATGACAAAAACAGGGAGACTTATCATACCTTTGCAGCCAAGCTGTTATTTCTGTGCAAGCGTGCTCGACCAGATGTGCAGACTCTCACTACTGTGTTATGCACTCGTGTCAGAAGCCCAACATCTGATGATTGGGACAAGTTGGTCCAAGGCCTCAAGTTTTTGGATCAGACGGCGCAGGACAAGTTGATCCTACACATTGATGACATATGCATCATCACTTGGTGGGTGGATGCATCATTTGCAGTCCATCCTGATTACCGTTCCCATACAGGAGGAGTCATGTCCTTTGGGAGTGGCGCGGTGCTGTCTGTGTCTGCGAAACAGAAATTGAATTCGAGGAGCAGCACGGAAGCGGAATTGATTGGAGCTGACGATGTCATGTCGCCCATGTTGTGGGCAAAGTTGTTCCTAGAAGAGCAGGGGATCGTTGTGAAGGACAACATCCTCATGCAGGACAACAAAAGCACGATCATTCTTGCAGAGAATGGCAAAGGCAGTTCGAGCAAAAGGACTCGGGCCATCAACATTCGTTTCTTTTTCATTCATGATCAGATTGGAAAAGGAAACCTCAGAGTTGTGTACTGCCCAACCTTGGAGATGCGTGGGGACTTTTTCACGAAGCCCCTTCAGGGCAAGCTCTTCCATGAGCACAGGGCTTTCATCATGGGGCATCCACCCCTTGTTTGATTTCCTAAATTATTTATTCGTTCCACGGTAGCCACTTAGGGCACCATGCAGGAGTGTGTTGGAGGAAATATACCTGACACCTTTTTACTATTGACTCGTGTATTAATCATCTAGTCCGGTTCGCATGCAAATTCATCATGCAAGGAACCAAGGGAGTTTAGGCCTAAAGTGTTACGGGGGTCCTTATATCCAATTCAATCACAAGAATTGCTATGCACCACCAGAAAATCCTCAGTTTTGCTTTTCAGCTTAATCTAAAACCAAATTACTCCCCAATAAGCTGCAGTATTACTAGCAAACAACACGATCTAAATCTTTCGAAAGGGAACTTGTTACTTAACGATACACACGACCGTTGATTCTGCAACTGACTTGCCGTTACTCTAATTTACACAGTAAACACCGGCAAATCGATTCTAGCTAGAGTGCACTGAGGGGGAACCAAAAGGAGCGTCATCTCCAGGAGATGTAACAAACCATCAGTGTCAATCATACTCGGATCCCGTAAAGGTCGTGTGGGCCGGATCAGCGGCAGCATCAGCAGGCAAACAACGCAACAACCACAGCATAGCTTTTACAGGTAACACACACAAAAAATTACATAAAAAGAGTAAAAGGTAAATCTACCTCATCTACCTTAAGGTGGATGCCCAAACTTGATAAGCCAGCGCTAGTTTGCCCACGTACTCTGATATGTTTTGCACATATCTTTTGTATAAATTAGGGAATTTGGAATCGTCAATGCACCGGATTCCTTCCAGATTCCTCTCATTATGTTTGAGCCATAAAAAACATCAAAAGCCTTTAAGTAATTTCGACGCGAAGGGAACTAGCACTCCGGTCGACTATGGTATAACGAACCGTTTCAAATGGTATTCTTTTACAACGCTCACATTTTGGGTGCCAAACGTGACTTGCCAGCGGATCCAGTGAGATCACTATAGTAAATCAGTAGGATAACACGGTTCGGCAAAAATTTGGGTTGAAACGATTGAAAAAGCAGGATTCCGTTGCGCAAAAGCTGAACATTCGAACAACAACAACAACAACATTGACAGCGATACCACTGTTATTGACCTCATTATCTCAGGTGCCGCTGATAGTATGGCCCTACAAGCAAGGCGTTATCGCTTCCTTATACTATAAGAAAGAGAGTAGTACTTGGTTGCAGGGCAATACTATCAGCAGCGGTCGAGATCTAAGGGTCGCTTGCAGCCGAATCGAAGAATCGACATGCCTTCTGCGGCTGCACACCGAGTCAACAGGCGGGTGTAACTTCGCACCAAGCTCGACGCTTACACCTCCTCACTACTATTAGCAACACCTCTTGTATGTTGAACAGTCGGATCGATGGGCTCAACAGCGATTCCAGCACACCTTTAGCAGCAGATCGATGATGTTGTTGTTCTAGCGATAACACCGTGTAAAAGAGATGGTATTTTAAACAGCTTATAGCTGGCTTATCACGTTTGGGTTAAAAAAGGTAGATGTTGTAGAAAGTAGATTTCCCTTTTCCTTTTCGTCTTTTCGTCTTGCTCTTAAGTAAATTGACCGAACCGATCTGTCAGAAGAAGCAAATACCTGAATTTTGTTAAAGTCTTATTGCGGACACACCCATCAAAAACGGGGAAATCTTCAAAGAGTAAACAGTAAAACGTAAACAGTAAACAGTAGAAAGCCACTATTGCGGACACTGTATACAGTAGGTGTCACGGTAGTTGTCGCTTTGCATCACGGAACGAACTGGACTGTCGTATCGATTAAGCACAATACAAAGATGGTGGCAGGGTCAGAGTTGCGACACAGAGGGGCGGGACGGTCTGAAGCCTCCAAACCCCGGCCCACCAGCAGCACTATGCACAGCGGTCGCGAAGCGGAGAAGGCTTTCGAAATGCTAAACGCTGTCAAAAAAGCCGAAGAATTGCCAACATCAGCGCTCGATTGGTGGACCCCAGTGTTCACAATTGGTTCCATGGCACTGTCAATTGGCAATCAGATCTCTGAGAATGTCGTGGCGGGTGTGTTGGATGTTGGGAGCGGTGGGCTGGCCTTCATGACGACCACCGCTTCCACCAACAAGAAGTTTGATTTGGCGAGGTTGGAACGTGAAAAGATTGACTTAAATGTCAATCTGGCTCGATTGACGGGTGAAAAGAATGAGGCGGCCATGGCACAGAATCAGGCGGCCATGGCACAGAATCAGGCGGCCATGCAGGCGACCATGGCACAGATTCATGCGGAGGTCCTGCAGCTACTGCGTGGCCTCCAGCAACAGGTCGGGCAGCAACAGGTCGGGCAGCCACAACCGGTCGGGCAGCAACAGGGCGGGCAGCCACAACAGGTCGGGCAGCAACAAGTCGGGCAACTCCACCGGCCAGCCGCAACCATTGACCGTGATATTCTTATTATCAAGAATGCCATCCTAGAGGTGAAGTTCGAGATTGACACATTGCTTGGAAAAGAGCCGCAGCCTGGAGCTCCCAACGGATATCGAGATTTGGCTGCAGCGATCGTTTGACTCTTTTGTGGTGCGGGGAACGTAACAGGCAATGTATGTCGTCTGAAAGAGGGAACAACCGGGACTCTCGATGTATGTATGTTTGTTTGAAAGATATTTGTGCAAGATATTCCTTCGCATAGCGAATCCGTTCGCGTAGCGAACAAGTAGGGAGTAAAGATTTGGGACAGGTATCAAGTGCCAAGACCGTCCTGCACATATTTAAGATGGGATTCCGATACATCAACAAAGTAGTGAATGAGTTTCAAGAGCCTAACACCGCTTTAGCTAAGATTCATTACAAGGATCTAAAAGGTATGCGAGTCTGTTTCTCTTCAACAACATTGTCAGTGGCCTCCGAAATGGGGCGCTCAATAAAGTTTCAATTGTGGATGCTGTAATCAAGGCATCCGATTACATCGAAGATACGACATTGATGAGGGAGAGGCGATGGGGCTCGATTCAAAGGAGAGATGATCAGGTTCTTCTTCGAGGAGGGAGTACAATACAGACTTCCCAACAAAGTGGACGATTTCAAACAATTCAGAAACAAGAAGAGTAACAAGGCGAAGGATTACGCTATCGAAATCGCAACAAAGATGTGCAGGCTTGACCGCATTGACCGTAAGGAGATGGAGCAGAGAGAGAAGAATCGCCTTTGATCAAAAGGCATGCCCTGACGCCCGTCTCATAAAAAGGGAGAAGATGACCAACTGGGATAAGAACAAATACAGGCGCTCATAGCGTACGAGAAAATATCTCTATGTTACTATCCACATTTGCCAAACTAACTAATTAATCATGACAATGACGGAGGATACTTCTACTTGCAACGGGGTTCCCATGAGCTTAGAACAGATGAGGGAGTATTTGCAGGACTACTACGGGACTCCTGTTTCATTGAGGAAGGTGGGTTCTATAGAGGTTAAGTGCCCCTACTGTGGGAAAATGCATGATCATACTGTAGTACATTGGAGGATGGAGGTTGGCATGTTCATTCGGGGTGTCTTGATGATGACAGGTACAATGGCGGGATTGTCATCGGCGATAGGTTATTTGTTCCAAACTATGGTTACACTATTTTGGAGTACAAGGAGAAGGAAGGTGTGAACCAGTTGGTATTATAAGATATTCATATGCCTCCTGGCTCGTCTCCGTTTCCATAAATCTTTTATTACCAACACATAACTCCCTTTATTGAAACAGTATTCGCGCGCTCCGCGCGCTCATCCCTTTCTCTGCTTCGCCCCGAGCCCCGAAACTGCTCCCTCGTCATTCATGCAAAACATGTGATCCCTCATTCATGCGAAAAATGTGAAGAACGCAAGGCGACTTTCATGTGCATGTACATGCGTTGACTGTATCCCGTCAATACAATACTAGTCGAATACGTAGACTTCTACAGAGGCCTCTAAGTAATGCACGCGGGGTATAATTCAAACCTCCACTCCCCAAAAGTACCCTTACCCCTAAAAGCAAATCGTCTCCGGGAGACGAAATTTTAAGATAGGTTCGGTTTTTATCCATTCCCTTAGTCGCTCCGGTAGAGACCGGCCTAAGCCATTTTGGATTTTTAGATTGTGCTGAAGTTTGCTTTCTAGGTCTTGGCGATCTTCGGATGTAAGTATAGTCCGCAAATGGACGGTTTCTGCCGAAGGGGTTCCTTTGGTTCTTCATTCTAGTTGTTGCTGGTTAATATGTTTTATGCCTCCTTCAAGACCGAAACGATTGTCATGGGGAATTCCACCTGCGTTGTTTCTGCGATCAAGGTCTTCTACTTTCTGTAATGCTAGTTTGTATTGTAATTTTCGGTTGGCGTCTTGTAAAGCTTCACTCTTGCGTTTCCGGGATTCTCTTGCCTGACCTTGATTTATGCGCTGAAATACTTTGCCTTCATTGTCGCCTTCTACAGGGGGATTGTCCATACGCCTTCTTCACCTGTAGTGGCACATGCCCAGCCATTCTTTCTCCGGAACCAGACGATGAACCTATCCAGAGATAATTTGGAGGAGTCTGGGCATTCGTTCATGAACACAACTACTGCGTTAGGGCGGTGGTTGTATTTATTGGTTGGTACATATTTGGTGCTGAGAACATCTCCATCCTTGATACCTTCCAGGAGATCGTATGGTATATGAATGTCTTTGCGAGAGCTGGGACAATCAATCAGGAAGATTTTCGCATCTTCCGAAAGGAGGTATTGCATGGCATCCAGTTTTGCTGGCTTTAACAATTGGAGGTCATCTCTAGTTGCTTTTAGGTATTCGCACAGCCAGCTCTTCCCTGCACCACCTAGTTCGTCTACAATAAAATGGATTTTTCTGAGGATGGGTTGTCGATTGCGTCGTAGACATATTGATGCCAATCTCTGGGTTCAAAATGAGGATTGGCTGGAGGTTTTGGACGATGACGACCAAAGTAGTCATAGCACCAAGTCCGGTTTCCACTTGTGAGGCTGTCATGTTTGTCTTGCAGCTCACTCCATGGCATGCCTGATGCTACATCCCTGTTGAAAGATTCAAAGTCAGTTCTTTTTCCAGGGGATTGGCCACTGTTACCTATTTCAAATGGAATACATCCTTCCTTTCGAGTTTCTTCCTTCTTGCAATAGTTAATGCTTTTTGCTAGATCTTCTGGTTTGCCTTGAACGGTGGTTAGATGAATGCTGTCATCGGGAAATTTGCCTTTTGCTACTGCTAAGCGATATTGCTGGGTAAAGAGTACAAACCCTTGAAGATGCTCTCGCCCAGTTTCAGGGCAGATTTCAATTTGACATACCCCATATTTGATTATACCTTTACTGTATAGTTCTAGCAGGACTTCACTATAATTACTTGGAAAATTATATCAAGTAAACTGCCAGCGAGCTCTGGGAGATTTTCTTTGGGATTTTGCCTTTGGAGCTTAGTTTGGGTCCGCTCAAGCGCCGCGGAGGCTACATTAAAAAAATGGGATTGGAGGTGCCCTACAATACTAAGGGCACCTTTTTCGAGACCTCTAATCCACTTGCATGTCTGCGAATCTTCGTGCATGTCTGAGAATCTTCGTGCACGTCTGAGTAGTGTTTTTTTTTACCACAATACTGCCCGGGTGGTATGACTCACAGAGAAACCACGCTATGAGAACATCTAAGAAGCGCATTTTTAGGTAGTGCTAGAATCGACATGCGTGCAGGTACCAAATGCCAACCAGCACGATCCCGATCCGTGACGTAATTTCTTCCAAGAATGCGTGCAGTGATTGGAATCGGGATTGTGTGTTCCACATGGGCATGCAACGAAGGCCCGCCCGGCAAGACTGCCTGCTTCACGATTTGGGATCCACTTTTTGGACCGTCTTTTCGGGAAGGAAAACCCTCTCTTTGGTACCATAAACTATATCCCGATTGGTAAGCGGGCGGTTCCCCAGCACACAGAATCCAAATCACCAGCCAGTGCGCCTAGCTAGTAGCAGCTAGTGTTGGCTAGCTAGCTTGCAGCCATGGCATCATCAAAGAAGGAGTTTGAGTGCCCTTACTGCAATAAAAAATTCAAATCTGTGGGATATCAGCAATCTCACATGCAACAGAACAAGCGCTGCCACCAACTGATGCAGAAAGCCCTTGGTTTGGACCTTGCTTTCAATCCTATAGGTGCTAGACAGACAAGATCAAGGCCAGAGCTGATCAGCTTGGTCTACTGACACCGGTCGGCCCGCAAAAGCACCAAGAAAGGCAGCAAGAGAACAAGATTCAAGGGCAGCCATTCCACAAGGATTGCAGGACGAGGATGCCCATGCCAGGGCCTCACTCAAGGTAGTGGTGGTTCCAAAGAAGACACAGACCATCGGAAACCTGCAGCAAATCCTCGAATCGGCAACAAAAAGGGCGCCGATGGGGAAGGAAATGGGGAGCTAGATGAGGATGGTGATTTCCCTACCAACATTGATCGTTTCAACGCGGATTCGGATAGTGAGCCTACCAGTGAGGACAGTGAGCTCAGTTTGGAAGGGTCAGTTGCCACATTGCAAGGTGACAACAAAGAGGACTTGGGATGATACCGCCCCCCAGACGAAAGCAAATAAACGCATTCAGAGCCTACTGTGTCAAGGCAAAGAAATTACCCGAGCTAACCGATTCGGAGAAGCGAAGGGTCAAACTAATGGATATCCTCCGTAGGAAAAGGACACCTCTGGATACTATGATGATGTACTTGCTTGGCATTTGGAGGAAACTGGGCCGCTAATGGACAACGAAAAGCTGGGAAAGAATCCAGACTACCTAGCAGGAAAAAACTGCTCCGAATTCTTAGGAAAGGTACAACATGAGCGACAAGTTACCTTTTGAAAAGAGATAGTCCTTCCTCATTGCAATGCCGGATCAAAGTCATTTGCTTCAGTGCTCGGAATTGTGTGGAGCAATTGCTTACCGATCCACGCCTAACAGATGAGGATTTCTGCTTTTTCAATGATGATCCGAGGCTCCACCACCTGAAAAGGCGACTATGTGGGTGAGTTGAACACGGGCGAGGCATCCGAAACGCCTATAATGAATACGTGATGACCCACAGAATGAGATAGGCATTGGGGTCCAGTTCTACATGATGGGGCAGTTACGGGCCAGTTTGACAACCTTTCAATCACGCTTTGAAGATGTCATTATCCTGTTTCACCCTTGACTACGGAAGAAGGATCAAGCCTGGGCGATTGTTGGCTTTGTGGTTAACTATTCGGAAGGTAAATCCAGAGGAAAGAAGATGTTTGCGGATTCTCGTCATGACCAAGCACTTGAGGATTTGGAAGGTATGTTTGTGGGTAGGGAAGGAGAAACCTCCAATAAAGTTACAAAAGCGCAAGACTTCCATGCCCAAATTGAAACCTCTTGAGCAACTACATCCCCTTGAGACGAATGGGATGGTATGGGACCTTCCTTACCGAGGAAAGCTCTACCGAAACAAGACGCTGGTGTTCTGGACTGCAATGGTGAGGGCTGACACCGATGAGGAAGAACTGCTTTGTGGAAAGTACAGGAGCCGGGGAACAAT